CTCCAGTGTGAGTTCTTTCATGTGTATGGAGGGCACTGCAAAAAGCAAAGCCCTTACCACATTGTTTACATTCATAGGGTTTCTCTCCAGTGTGACTTCTTACATGCATTCGGAGGTAACTGGGAGATGTGAAGGCCTTACCACATTGTTTACAATCATAGGGTTTCTGCCCAGTGTGATTTCTTTCATGCCTTTGGCAGTTACCAGAAGAAGCAAAGGTCCTACCACAGTGTTTACATTCATAGGGTTTTTCACCAGTGTGAGTTCTTAAATGCCTACGAAGGGCACTGGAGAAACCAAAGGGCTTATCACAGTGTTTACATTTATAGAGTTTCTCTCCAGTATGTGTACTTTGATGCTCTCGACGGTCATGTGAAGACCTGAAAGCCTTCCCACAATCCTTACACTTATAAGGTCGATTTCCAGTGTGCACTCTCATATGTAGTTGAAGCTTCCGAACATAAACAGAGGAATACCCACACTCCTGGCATTTGTAAACTTTCTCTCCAGTATGAATTGTTTTATGTAATTGAAAGTTACTGAAATGTTTAAAGTCTTTACCACATACTGTGCATTTATAAGGCTTTTCTGTTTTGTGATTCTTTTCATTATGTCCCATATGTGTGGAAACACTGGAGGATTTACCACACTGATTATATTCATCAGGTTGTTCTCCAGTATGACTCTTTTCATGTTGTTTAAATGCTGAGTTGTACAAAAAAGTTGTTCCACAGTGTTTACACTTGTAATGTTTCCCTCCACTGTGCATGTTCATGTGTATCTTAAATGTTATATGATAAAGAAAAGATTTCTCACATTCTTTACATTTATAAGGTTTTTGTGTAGAATGCAGACTCAAGTGTCTCTGAAAGCTTTCAGAAGTAAAGAAGGCTTTGCCACATCCTTTATATTCATAGTGTTTCTCTCTATGACTTCTTTCATGTGTCTGAAAAGAACTTTGAAATCTGAAGACTTTGCCACACTGTTTACATTCATAGCAGATTCCTTCAGTATGTTCATGTTTCTGAAGCCACTGGTGACAACTGAATGCTTTACCACACACCTTACATTTATATGACCTCTCTCCATATTTCTCACTCTCATGTGGTCTATGCCTAACATGAGATCTGGGTTGCCCACTGAGGAATGTCGAATGCATGAGGACTTTTCCACACAAGCTGCCTTTACATGGTGCTACACAGATATAGGTTTCCTTCGTGAGATTGAGATTTGGAATTGGGATGATATTGTCTCCACACTGATGATCTTTATTCTCATAAAGTTTCTCCATCATAACATTTCTGTAAGAATGAGTAGCATATTTTCAATGCTTTCAAAAAATCATTTCATATTTTCAATAGGTACTAGAATTAGTTTTTAAATACTTTCAGAGAAAATATAGATTTTCTTCTCTGTTGGAACTCTTTGAAAGTGAATGTATGTAATATTCTAGAAAGGTATGTATCCGTGACTAATATTAAAACAGTAATATTAGTAGGCATAGTGGTTCATTGCTGTAACCTCAGCTACTCAAGACCCAGGGGCAAAAGGGTCTCAATTTCAAGGCTTAGCAAGGCCAAATTTCAATATTTAAAACAGAACTCAGGATAACTGGGCACTGTTATACACCTGTAATCCCCGCACTTCTGAGACAGGGCCGGGAGATCAGAGGTTTTATGGTAGCTTACATTACACAGCAAGTTCAAGCCCAACCTGGACTACATAGTGAGACTCTGTCTCAAAAAAACAAAAAATGGGTGGGACTGGGAGAAATAGCTCAGTGAAATGCCTGGGGGTCAATCCTCTGTATCAAAAGTCATATATTTGGGCCAGGGATTTAGCTCAATGGTTCCGCCGCCTGCCTTGCAAAAGCAAGGACCCGAGTTCGATCCTGGTACCAAAGGGAAAAAAAAATCATATATTTATACATGCATTTGTGTAATAGCATTTGGAACATGAATGACCTTAGTATATAATTATTTTTCATGAAAATTTTCTGACATGTAAAGTCAATCTGGGCTTACTATTTCCCCTTGCCTTTTTTGAAAAGTGATCATCTATAAAAATATTCTCTGACAGTCACTATGTACTTTTACGAGTGCAGCTCACCTTGGGTTTCTCCCTTGCTTTGTGTCCTCATTTTCAGTGCTCTGGTCTTTCCATTTTCCCCCTAAAATTCATATCCACAAAAATCACAAGTTAGAAATTACAGGACATTATGATTCTACACAAATAGCTTTGACTCATTGACTTATTGTCCAAAATTATAGTGTTTCCATTTTTTTCATAAAAGAAACACTTATTCTCTAATTCACTAAAAGAAGGAATGATATCATCCTTACCCACAGCGGCCAAGTTCCTTATGGTTTCCCTCATCACATCTTTGTACAGTCTCTTCTGTGAAGAATCCAGCAAAGCCCACTCTTCCAAGGTAAACTTCATAGCCACATCCTCAAATTCCACAGAATGCTAAGATGTCCCATAAATTGGCACAAGAAGATGGTCAGACTGACAGCATTGGAGCTGTAACCTCAATACTGAAGACATTCCCACACAAGTCTGTGGTCTCCAAACATTTACTAACTCATGTGGTGGAAAGAACACCAACTCTGACTTTGTCATAAAATTTAGCAGTAAAGAACACACAGAAATGACTTCTACATCTTTACCTCTACATGTCATATTGCTGTCTAATAGCAGAGCTCAATTCACTTTGAAGAAATAAAAAATGATATTCAAAGAGACTAAATCAATGTAACCATGTCCATATGAAACTGTCATTTTTGGCTTTGTTATACACTATATCACTTCATATTTTATGATACACAGTCAAAAAGTAGATGTACTTTTAATGACCTTTAAAACTATTTGTTTTTATTGCTGGTTATTTAAAACTATTGCCATCAACAAACATGAGAGGCTAGGAGACCTGGGGAATAATAATATGTAATAAAAACTAGGTTTTTAAAAGAAGTATTCCATGGCATTAGAAGCCTTCAGAGATGTGTATCATGGGCCATATCAAAGTTCCCAGCTACTTGTATGGATAGAGTAGCATGATTGCACACTTGGGGCCAGCAAGGGCAATACAAGAAAATCCTGCTGGGTGCAGTGGCACATGACTGTAATTCTAGTACTTTGGAGGCTGAAGCAGCAGATCACACCAAGTTCCAGCCTGGGCTACATAGTGAGTTCAAGGCCAGGCTGAACTACTAGTGAGGCCCAGTCTCAAAAAAATGAAACAAAATCAAAGTAAATCAAACAAACCAACAAACACAAAACCAAGAAAACCCTGTCTATGACTGGGAGGATGTCTTTCAGTGGTAGAGTGCTTATCAATCATGTGTGTGGCCTTGGGTTAAATCTCTAGAACCACAAAGAAAAAAGGTCTGAAATGGAGTCAAGTGAATAAAAATACTCATTTGGGACTTTTGTTGCACTTTAGAGATAGAGAATCTGTTTGGCATATGGCAGGACTAAGGTTCAGTCCCCCAAATTTGTGTTAATATTTATTTATTTGTAGTACTAGAGATGGAATCCATAGATTCCTACATGGTACACAAGCAACACACCAGTGTGGCACTGTACTGTCTGGCCCTAACATAGTGATCCTCCTTCCTGTGCTTTATGAATAGATGGAATTGCCACTCCAATTGACGGGTTTCCAAAAATTACCACTATGTCATTAAGATTTCTTTTTAGAAAAAAAAGATTTATTTTTAAAAACAGTAAAATACAGTATCAGAATATTATGCTACTTATTTCTTTATCTTTCAGACATTAAATATCTTTATGGGAGCCCAGAAATGACAAGAGAGATGAAAGCAATTTCCCTCTGACACCTACAGGTGCAATAAAAAAATATTTATACTACACCCTACAAAATTATCCTAAATCCTCACATGCAAGACCTGAGATGAATGTCACAGTTCCTTTTTGAAACTACATAATGTCCAATATTCAAGAAAAACTTATGAGGCTTGCGATAAGACTTAAAAAACACTTTGAAGCTCAGTGTGGCAGCACACACCTGTAATCCAGCACTGGGGAGGCTGAGGCAGGTTGGATTGCCACAAGTTTTGAGGCCAGCCTGGGATATACAATAAGTTCAAGGCCAGCTCAAACTACATAGCAAGACACTCTCTCAACCTTCTTACTTCCCACCCCAAAACCCAAAAAAAGACCCATCACTGTTTGAAGTGAGGTGTAGTGGCACATGCTATAATCTCAGGACTTAAGGAAACTGATACAGGAAGGATCACAACTTCAAATTCAGCATGGGCAACTTATCAAGATCATGTCATAAAATTACAAAAATAAAATAGCTAGGGATGTAGCCCAGAGGTAGAGAACTAGGTTCTGGAAAAATGATACATGCAATATGAATAAAGAGGAGCCAGAACCAAATTAGACATAGAAGAGATATTGGAATCATCACACCAGACAGTTACAGCAAGCTGTACAAAATAAATATGCTGAAGTATTTAAAAAAAACATTTAAATATTCATGAATAGATGGATGATTGCAAACTGAGATAAGGATCCAATAAATCAATACAATTATGTGAAGAAAAACATTGCTGATTGTGAGGAAGAACAGAATATCTAAGACATGGAGGAAAATGAAAATAGAACTCATAATTTTTGGAATGCAGTGAAAGCAGTACTTACTAGAAAATTTATGCTGTTGAACAAATACAGTGCCAAAGGACAGAAATGGATACCAATAATAAGCAGGAGCACATTAAACCCTGTATAAATTCAAGAAAAACAAACAATGAGAAGGAATGAAATTGGAGTATTCAATTTAGAAAAGCAACCTAATTAAAAGCTAACCTTGTGAGAAGAGCAATGAAGGAAACCGATGTCTACAGGAGATAATTTAAGGCAAAGAAGAATAGAGGCATATTTCACTGTAATAACCTATTGTTCCATCTATTTGAGAGGTTGACGAGGGAAGATCACATGAGTCCAAGGATTTAAAACCAGCCAGGTGCAACTTAAGAGAAAAAGTCTCAAAAAAGTAAATAGGATACAAATTAGAATCTGGTTGTGTAGCTCAATTGTATTCCTAGCAATGCTAGACTCCATTCTCAGCAACAAAAAACAATAGCATATGATGTTTAGAGAAGACTGTCTCTCCTGCCACCTCCAGAGAGGGTCTCACTATTTTGATAAGCGTGGCCTTAAACTCATATATCCATGCCTTGACCTCATGGCTATCCCCCTGCCTCAGCTTCAGTGGTGAGATTGCAGGCATGCCACACTATGACCAGCTCAGGAGGACTGTCAGCTTGATTGACTTTGGGATCCACCTGGGCACTGGTGGAACACACTAGTAGGTATATCATGGAAATGTGGAATCGAGTATGTCTCTACCCTACTCTGGACTATCAAACACTGTTACTCTCTGCTTACATAGTCTATGACAGCTTTGTTATGTCATTATCTTCTGCCATGATGTTCCTGCCTTGGAGTTAACCATAGGTTGAATCTCAGGAAATCATGAACAAATTTAAATCTCTCCTCCTTTAAGTTGTGGATGTTGGGTATTATGTGCCAGCAATGAGCAAGCTGACCAACATAGGGGGTTTGTGAAGCAGGGGCAACTGACTGTAGGGACTCTTCATACTAAGGAAGTGCTCCACAACTAAGCTTCACTCCCAGCTCCACATTGGTACTGGGAATCAAACCCAGAGCCTTCACACTGAAGAACTCTAGCCCTTTTATGAGTCAAGTTCTTACTAGGTTCATAAATTACCCCATTAAGCTTAAACTTCCAATTCTCCTGCCTCAGCCTCCCAGAGTGCTGGAATTTTAGGCATGGGCCACTACAGAAGGCTCCTGATTGTTGTTTATAATGAAAGATGGAGGTATCTTGATTCATGAACTTAGTTCTTTCTTTGATTCTGGTCAAACCGAACTGATCTCAAACTGAATCAAATTTCCCCGTAAAGTTAACATTGAAACTAACCATTGAATTTGATTCAGTTCACAACCAATTCTCTTTTATCTTCTGTTTCTCAGTTTTTTCTGATACCTTTGCCCAATCTTATAAATGTCCTTCTACTCCCCAATAGGTTGCCTTATCTCACTTTTCCCTCCTGCTTCACATATAGTTTAAATTTTTCCTCATGCATTCCATGTCCCTCTATACCTTTAATAGTATAATGACAAAGGTTTACTGATCTTTATATAGTTAACTGTTGAAAATTACTGTTGAATTCTTTTCTATCATTAGTGGAGATATAGCTGTCACATTCAGTACATACTCAATATACACTAACTGTAAGTCAATACCTGGGTTGTCTTAATGTTTACACCATAATTGTGGATTATTCTCTAGGGTTAAGGTTGGTAAATAATTGGTTCTTAAGATTTGTTAATATTCAGTTTATCTTGGATAGTACTACTGTAGCTGGTTTGTTATTACCAGGGTCATAATAATTTTTTGCTATTAATGAGTTTCTTTTGTACACCAACAGCCACAATATCTTTGTTACATTAACAATATCAGATTACATTCCTAGAAAACTTGGTGTCAGGCCAATTACTCTGCATTCTTCCCTCCCAAATTAACTGAAATGGTGGGATCTGGAGGTCATGGCAAAGGACTACAGTTAGCCACACCCACTATACACCAGTGAAAAGCAACTAAGGAGATCTCTATGCTAGAGACAAAGTCTACACTAGAAGCACAAAACAAGTGATACAAACAAATAAATCAATTGAAACATAAGAAGACAAGGGAACAGAGTGTCTCCCAAAACTCGCAGAAGTCAATGTGGGAGCACTGCAGGAGAGAAAAGCATAAACCACACATCTGAATTACTTGAAAGGATAAGATAGGAGGCTAGAAAACACATCAGAGGTACTCAGTGGGATCACAGAAGATATAAATAAACAGATAGAGGAACTGATAACAAAAAGATGCACCAGGTTTCACATGACATTAATCAAAAGCTAGGTGAGTTAAAGAAAATGATATAAAATCCAAATGAACAGTTTTCTGAAGAATTAGAGTTCATAAAAATGTTTCAATCAGAAATCCAAGAGATTAAAAATCATACTGAAAGTACGGGGAGAAGAACTGACCAATGTGAGGACAGAATTTCAGAACTAGAAGACAACGATGCCTTCAAAGACCAATTACTCAAACACATCTTAAAAATAAGAGAGTATTTAAATAAGAACCAAGATACATCATGTACAGGTACAAGCACCCAATGATAAATGTAAATGTATTGTATACCTAAAATGGACCAATAAAAGAATTTAAGCAAAAAAAAAAAAGACATAAAAAATGGAACCAAACCCTGTTAGATAATGTAAATGATACTAATTTAAGAATTATAAAAAAATGAAAAACCTAAAGACAAGACAAATGGCATAACAAAACATATCCATAGAAATTATTGCAGAAAACTCCCCAAATACAGGGAAAGAAATAAACATATAGCTAAGAGAAGTACATAGAAACTCAAATAATTATGACCAAAAGAGAACCTCTATGTGCCACATTATCCTGAAGGCACCAGAAGTCTATCGCAGGGACAAAACCTTTTAAAATTAGAGAAAGGCCACGAATCATATATAATGGTGAACCCATTAGAATTACAGTGAATTTCTCACACAAACTTAAAGGCCAGAAAGGTATGAAATGAACTGTTTCAAGACCCAAAAGGTAGCAATTTCCAACCCCAAATTTTGTATCCTACAAAATTTTCCTTTCAAGCTGATAGAGAAAAAAGGTATTTCCATGGCAAGCAGTACCTCCAGAAATTTAAGAACACAAAAGAAGCATTACAAAAAGTTCTCATGGATACCCTAGAAAGTCACAAAGAAGTCAACAATGCCATTAAGTCAAAAAGACTATTTGGCAGGATGAAGCAAAAGAAAAAGGAAAAAAAAGTTAAGGAAATCAGCAACAAGAGAAAAATAATGCAATGACATGAATAAGACAACACTTTCAGTAATAACTATCAATGTCAATGGTCTCACTTCCCCAATCAAAGGACTCCAATTGGCAAAATACACCAAGAAACAAAAACCAATGAAATGCACTATATAAGAAACACATTAAATTCTAAAAGAAATTCATGGATTAAATACCAAAGGACAGAAAAAATATTTCACGCAGAGGGAAACCAGAGAAAAGCAGGTAGGTATAGCTATCCTAATTTCAGACAAAGTGGATTTCAAGCTGATCAAAACAAACAAAGAAAGTCACCACATAACCATTAAGGGAACAATTCAACAGGAAGAGATAAAAATTAAATCATACATACACACCAAACAACAGAAAGCCCAACTTTATAAGATAAATACTAATAGACATGACAAACAGCAATACAACTGAACAGAGGGAATGTTAATACCCACTGTCACGACAAACAGTTCAACTAGACAAAAAGTCAACAAAGAAATATCAGAAGTGAACCAAACCTTTGAATAAATGGACTTAATAGATATCTACAGTGTTCCATCCAATATCAACACATTACATATTCTCTCAGCAGTACATGAACTGTCTAAAACAGACCACATACTACAGTACACTGTAAAGCATGCTTAAGTAAATGCAAAAGAATCAAAATTATCCCATGCATATTATCAGATCATAGTTCAATGAAACTAGAAATCAACAGATAGCAAATCAATCAACTGCAAGGGATATCACAGAAGCTATACAAACAAATGGAAAACAAATAATAACCTCTTGAATAATCAATGGGTCACAGGAGACATTAAGGAAGAAAATAGTATTTAAAATCAATGATGCCAGTATGAAATACCAAAACACATAGGACATAATGAAAACAGTCCTACATAGAAGTTTACAGCAATGAATGCCCACACTGAAAAAACAGAGAGTTCAAATAAAGAACCTACTGATGCATCTCAAGGTCCTAGAAAAACAAGAACAATCCAAATCCAAAGATAGTACATGGAATGAAATTATAAAGACAGAACAGAAATTAATGAAATTTAGACAAAAATCAATACAAACAATCAAAGATCTGATTCTTTGAAACAAAAAAGAAAATATACAAATCCTTGGGCAATCTATACCACATGCAATTAGATATGAAAAAGTCAAAATCACAACAGACACAGCCCAAATCCTGAAGATTACTAGTAGCTACTCTGAGAAGCTATTAAGTAAATGGAAAATTCAGAAGAAATGGATAGACTCCTAGGTACATGTGAACTGCCAAAGCTGAACCAAGAAGATATGAAAATCCTAAATCATTTAGTATCAGTTAGAAAGTAAAGACTAAAAAAACTACCAACTAAAAAAATCCCAGGTCTAATGGATTCACTGCCAAATTCTATGAGAACTTCTGAGAAGAACTAACACCAATACTTCTCAAACTCTTTAATGAAATTGAATGGGAAGCAGTACTTCCAAAGTCATTCCTGGAAGCAAGCATTACTTGATTACAAAACCAGAAAAGCACCCAATCAAAACAGAGAACTACAGGCCAATCTCTTTAATGAACACAGATGTAAAAATCCTCAATAAGATACAGGGGTACCCCAGTTTATTAATTTAATTTGCTTTACAATTTTGTGGAATATGGCTTAGTTTGGGTTTGTATGGTGAAGATGGTCATGGTCATGTCTGTGACCTCATGCGGCGTTTGTGAATGGAAGCAAAATTTTGCCAAACGCTTTTGTTTGTGAACCAAATTGTCTGAGGTATTACAACTGACAAATAGAATGCAACAGATTATCAAAAAGATCATAT